ACACAATTTTTAAATATTTATTTTGCTAGTGGAAATTCACAAGGTGCCACGTATTGTCAGAGAAAGCATGTTAAGTAACTGATAGTGACGCCACTGCCCATGTGAGCCCTTATAACCTTGATTTCCTCATAGATAGCAAAATAATCTTCCGATTTAATAAACATTTGGCAAATCGATAGATATTAACAGAAATAAGTTATACAAGGTCAAACGAAGACATTCATAATAATATAATAGACGTTACAGTTTTTCGCGGTTTGTGGGCGTTGAGTAGGCATGGCGGAATGAAAACACGTATCGCGATATCAGTTTTTCTGGAAAATGCGAAAATCGTCGAGCCTTTTGGGCGTATGCCGGGGTGTGGCCGGATCGTAGTACCCCTATAAGACCGCTGGCACCCAAAGATTATACACACCGAATTTCAACTTCTAGCTCTAATAGTTCCTGAGACATCAGCGATTTTATTTTTTTTCCGATTTGTGGGCGTTACAGTGAGCGTGGCAGGATGATGTAATAAACTTGTGCTGCGTAGGCACCTCAAGAATCTTCATGGTCTATCTCAACTTTGTGTCTGTTGTAGTTCCTGAGACCTCAGCGTTCATACGGACAGACGGACATGGCTCAATCGACTTCGCTATTGATCCTCATGATAGGCAAAATTTTTTTTTTTTTAAATAGTGTAAAACGGTAACGGGTATCTTATAGTCCCGGCACTCGACTATAGCGTTGATTCTAAATTTAATAATTTGTCATTAAGTTTTGTAAAATTTAGCGTACCGAGGTTAAAAAAAAGTTGTCCGAGTTACAGTTGAATACCTATTGTAATAAGGTTACATTACAGAATTGACTTTTGAATCATTATAATGTTATGGAAGATGAGAGGGAAGACACAGTATAAGTTCGTGTTTCACACTTAAAGATGTTGAGGGCTGTGTCTCAAAATTTGCCGGGTCAAGCCGAATTTATATTGATCAGTCCAGTTTGATAATTTACAATTATATGTGTACGGAAAGCAACTTCTTAAAGGTGGAAAACACTGAAAGATGCTTTGATAGAAGAATTCTAAGAGAAATTATCGTCGGCAGAAATACACAAGCGTTTAAATAAACGTAGGCAGATGAAGGGATAAAGTTTACATGAATTCTTAAACGCTCTTTTAGAAATAGCCATGCCGATCCATTTGGAAGAGAAAAACATTATTGAATATTTTGTCGAAGGCATACCGGATTCTAGATCTAATAAGATAGTGCTCTATCAGGCAAAAACTATTAAAGAGTTCAAGGATAATATAAGAAAAAAATCAGAAGGAAACCTCGAACATGATACAGGACAGGAATCGGTTGATGAAGCCATCAAGCACTTTCACAGTTTCTGGCCTTAAATTGAAAAATATCAAATGTGGTTCTCATTCTGTCAAAGGACTAGTAGATACCGGTGCAGATCTCTGCCTTTTGCATAAAAGTGTTTTTCTTACTCTAGGAAAGGAATTGACAGGTTGTTGCAAAATTTTGACTGGTATTGGCGATAGTCAAGTTCTTACATTTGGTAGTTTTATTGTATTGGTGTGTATTGATAACATCGAGTTTGAAATCGAGTTTCATGTAATTCCTGATGAAGATATGAATTTTGATGCAATTCTTGGTAGAACAATTCCAAACTGTGTAAATATCAAATAGGCATAACATTGACTCGTAGAATTGAGGGTGAGTTTAAGATCTATTCTCAGCAAAAGGAGAATGTTGAACAAAGTGAAAATACTTATATTGAATGGATGAATGATTTTCAGAATAGCTCGGAACGGCAGTGCATGTTATTGAGAATTGTGTATAATGTATTATTTTTAATAACAAGTTCGGTAAACGTGAGGGATTCTTATCGCCAATAGATAAAGGGCATCGGCCGTCGTCCACATGTCAAATTGGTCACGTTGAGCCAATGGAAGTAACTAACAAATGCTATAACCATATCCTCGTTGACGTTGGCTCGCTTTTTCCGATTCGGGGCACGGGGGTGAATGAGATCGTAAATTGTTTAGAAAGACAGGCAGGATTGTTTGGAAACCCTGCTAGGATTGTGTCAAATAGGGGTACCGCTTTCACTTTAAATGTGTTTAAAGAGTTCTGTGAAATCGGTCGTTAGCTGCAAGATCGCGATAAACGTATTTATGTTTGTAAACGGAGCAAATTCATTTAACTTTTATAATTTATTATATATTTTAAACTACTTAATAAATAAAAAAACATTTACATTTACTTTTTTTTTATTATACCCGTTACTCGTAGAGTAAAAGGGTATACTAGATTCGTTGAAAAGTATGTAACAGATAGAAGGATGCTTTTGCGACCCTATAAAGTATATATATTCTTGATCAGGATCAATAGCGAAGTCGATTGAGCCATGTCCGTTTGTCCGTCCGTCCGTCCGTCCGTCCGTATGAACGCTGAGATCTCAGGAACTATAGCAGATACAAAGTTGAGATTATGCATGAAGATTCTTGAGGTCCCGGGACAGCGCAAGTTTATTACAGCATCCTGCCACGCCCACTCTAACGCCCACAAATCGCAAAAAACTAAAATTACTGAAATCTCAGGAACTATTGCAGATAGAAAGTTGAAATTCACAAAGTATAATCTTTAGATGGCAGCGCATCTTATAGTGGTACTACTATCCGGCCACACCCACCCATACGCCCACAAGGCCCAAAAGACGGATTTCGGATTTTCTAGAAAAGCTGATATCTCGGTAACTATAAGAGATAGAAAGTTCGGATTAAGCATGTATGTTTCTATGATGATTTCAATGCGAATTGTTTTTTTCCGATCACGCCACGACCACTCAAACGCCCACAAAGCCCGAAAAACCAAAAATGCAAAAATCTCAAAAACTATAAAAGCTACACAATTTTGCTTAGAAACACGTATTTAAGAGATGCCTCTGCAACTTGCCACGAAGTTGCATCCGGCCACGCCCACTCTAACGCCCACAAACCGCGGAAAACTGTGGAGTCTATAATATTATTATGAATGCCTTCGTTTGGCTTTATCAAAGATTTTTCAAATCGGAACATTTGTTCGCTATTTATAAAGAAATTAAGTTATAAGGCCTCACATGGGTAGTGACGTCACTGTAAGCATACTCAACATACTTCCTCTGACAATAGGTGGAGCATTGTGAATTTCCACTAGCAAAATAATATTTTAAACTTTTGTAAAACAGTAACGGGTATCTTATAGTCGCGGCACACGACTATAGCGTTTCCTCTTGTTTTTTATTGATATTGAATGATTTTCCTATTTAAATTTTATTTTTCACTGTCACTTTTCACTCCACTTTTAATTTTTTATTATGGCAATACCTTAAGACGATTTTACTCCGATAACATTTTATTTTGTACTGGCCAAATTCCCCTTTTATTTGTAGTATTTTAAAGGCTTTAAGCTATGTAAAAGTCAAGCCAGAAGTAGGGAAATGAAAAAATAAAATTTTTTCAATAAATTCGGTAAACCGGGATAAAGATAATTCAAATTTAAATGATAAATTAAAATATTTGTCTAGAAGCTGGATAAAATTATATTAGATAGTGTCTAAGATATGATCTTTGTAAAATTCTTAAAACTATATGAGTTTATGTAAGCTTATATGAACATATTAGTCAACATTATCATCCCATAAAATACTTTCTCTGCAATTAGTTTTCAATAAGGTAAAAAACAACAGATATACTATGCCAGCCTCAGTAAAACAGTAATTTATTCTGACACTTTAGGTAAACCGAAAATTCAGGTGGTCTAACGATGTCAGTGTTACCAGTTTTATCTGTTTGAAACAGATGTGTTTAGTTATGTAGGGAAACTTTCGATTTTCAACCGGTATAACTGCTGAGAAGTTGTTAACATGTATGATGGGAACGCCTTTGAGCATGACGATCCCTTTGAAGAATCTGCTTCTTAGGCTTCCTCGTTTGCTGCGATGATCTCTTATTCGGTAGTTGAGGTCCCAACAACTGCTTATCATTGACTAGTCCTGGAAAAACTGCAACTGCTGCATACTTCACGACGACTCCAGGTGTTGAATGTCCTGTATAGATGCAACCACCAAAGTCAACATCGCTGAACACGCCGTGTCAAGCATCAGGTAGATCTGTGCTCATTCTATATGCCTGTAAGGGAATTTGGTGCTTTGCTTTTTTCTTTGGTTTTCCATCAGAAATCCACTTCTTATTTTTTTGCACTAATAACAACTCTCATATTTTTTTGACTTCTTTGTTAAATGTGATGTTCAACCATTTGCCAAAACTGCTGATCATGTGGCTCCCTATGTAACCTTTTGAAAATTTCTTTCATGCACTGGTGATTTATTGATAATGAACTCATCCACAGTTTTATTATTATATTATGGTATTAGCAACATATTATCAAATCAATGTAATTCTCAAACTATGATTATGATTATTCTACAGATCATTCCATTGATCCAACAAAAAAATTCGACGACAATTGCACACAGAAAAGAGCGTTTTCTCTTCTCTTTTCGCGCAATGTTGTATTACTATTTACTCATTTTAACCTGTTCAAGTTTTTCACTCAAGAAAAATAACTGTTTTAAATAAACAGTAATTTATTCTGACTCTTAAAATGAAACAAAAATTCTGATGGTCATTCGAGATTGTTATGCAAGCGAGCTTTTTCTTAGTAAGCGTTCTAATGGTAATTTGTTTGACAAAACGCTGTTAGACTTGAACTTCATATGACAAAAATTATGTGATAAGGTATGTTTAATTTAAAATTATTTAGGCTTGGGCGTTTGATTGGATAGTTACTCGATGTAAATTCTTACAAGCTTTTATAATTACGAAGCAATGATCCGGCCTAAAATATTTTATTTTGAAAAACGCGATGATTGCATTAATAATAATAAGTTTTTTTTAGTTAAGCCAGGAAGTATTAATATATTAACAAATTATCAAATTTAAAAATAAATGGTTGTTTTTATTTTAATAGGATGAATTGACTAAGGAGCAAACTGCTTGTAAGTTACTATAGCATTTAAATCAATTATTCAATTAACAGAGTACCCTTTTTTAATAGTATTACGAAATGCATTTAATGCTTTTGATCCAGAAAAAAATGGGTACATTAATACTGCCATGGTTGGTACGATTCTTAGCATGCTGGGCCATCAACTTGATGATGCTACTCTTGCTGATATTATCGCTGAAGTCGATGAAGATGGATCTGGGCAAATCGAATTTGAAGAATTCACAACACTGGCCGCACGCTTTCTTGTTGAAGAGGACGCCGAAGCAATGATGGCTGAATTAAAAGAAGCTTTCCGACTTTACGATAAAGAAGGAAATGGCTACATTACTACCGGAGTTCTTCGTGAAATTTTGCGGGAACTAGATGATAAATTGACAAATGACGATCTGGATATGATGATTGAGGAAATTGATTCTGATGGATCAGGAACCGTTGATTTTGATGGTAATGTAGAATTTATTTGAAAAAAAAAAGTTAAATTTTAATTTGAAAATGTTTTATACTGCAGAATTTATGGAAGTAATGACTGGTGGAGATGATTAAATGCAATATTAAAAAAATACATTGCAAAATTCATTTAAAAAAAAAAAGAATTTTCTTTTCAATTAAAATTAAAATTTGGTATTAACAAAGAAATAATTAAAAACCCCTGTATTATTGTGTATTCTAGAATTATTAATCTTATTTGAAATTATTATAAAAAGCGAAGACAAACATAAAATTATCATAACTTATAACTTAAGTGCAATACTGATGGGGGGGGGGTGTGTGTCGATGCTGCCGCAAATTAACCCGGTGGCACGAAAAGAAGAAGACGGGGGCGTCGTGGAGTATTTTTCAAGGGCCGTCAGCTTTATTCTGCTGCATACATGGAACTAAAAGAACCTAGCTTAACATAAGAAAAAGCCGCTACCGCCAGAGCGGATGATCGCCGACAGCCGACCGCTGCAGTTGGACCCGAGAGAGAGAGTGCAAGATTGTGCGGCGGCACAACGGCCCCTCACCTAAACACTAAAACATGTATTTTAAATAAAATGATTTGTTGAACATGAATACTAATTTGAATTACAAAAGTTTTGGTTTTAAATAGGTAGTAGTCCCTGTCATACTTGTCATGTAAAACTTTTCTCCCCCATCATCAAAACCCATTATCTATCACCCCAGCCATATCATATAATTAGGTACTTAAAGCTGGTTCTGGCACAAATTTATGGGCTATTAACATTGTTTAGAAAGACAGGCAGCATTGTTTGGAAACCCTGCTAGGATTGTGTCAAATTGGGGTACCGCTTTCACTTCAAATATGTTTAAACAGTTCTGTGAAGGGGATAATATAACTCATCTTTTGATAACTACAGGTGTTCAGCGAGATAATGGCCAAATTGAGAGGATGCATAAGTTTGTGAGTAGGTTAATAAAGCTGGTTCTGGCACAGATTTATGGCCTATTAAGCTGTCACATTAGTGATAAAAACATGGTTTACCCCACCCCAAAACCCATTATCCGTTGTCTCCTTTGATAAGGATTTCCCCTCACCCTTTTAGTCAGTTTGGATTCTGGTACAGAAATCATAAACCCATAAATTATAGTTTTTAAAATCAGTGCACGTAATAAAATGTGACGATTGTGTCATGATTAGTTTTCCAACCCCCCTATCCGTAATATGGGAATATTGAAATGTATTCCTGACCCTAATTAGGAGGATTGGGAACGGCTTAAGGGGTTGAATTTTCTCAAAACACACTGTCAATTTCTATATATGTAAGCCTCTGTCTACGTGTGTGCGTATGTATGGTTGAGTGGGAACCCCAGATGTGTGTAAAGAGGGTCGGATACTTATCACGATATGGAGAACTGATATACGTTCATGGACGCACCATAATAAAATTGTCAAGTGCATAGTCAAGTATAAGTCAATGTTTCAAGTTGTTTATTCAAATTTCAGATTTTTTAGATTTCAATACTTTAAACAAAGGGACACAGACTAAATAGTTTGCATTGCAGACGTCGTTTCTTAACGCTCGCATATTTCACCGTAATAAAAATGTCAGTACATATGCATACAGTTATTGGGTAAACATGGACCAATTCAATTAACTGAAGGAGGAAAGGGATACAAGGAGTGTAACGTTGCAGTAATTGTTTTCTGAGAACATGTTTCTAAGACATTTCTATTCATATTTTAAAGTGTTTGGGATATCTGACTTTCAATATAGTTGAGAAACTGAATTGGATTGTTGGGAGGTCTAGGAGTATAACATATACGTATGCCCTTTAAGTATAAAAAGGAGAGCAGTCAAATTGTTCAGCATCAGTTCGTCAGGAGCACCAAAATCACCATCAGCATAATATCTGTGGAATTCGTCGATTCAATTCAGACTTTGGAATTGTTGACGGACATTAAAATCGATGACCAGACTCCGATGTGGTTGTCAATGAAGACTCGGAGCCAAACTATGTAATGGCTCTAGACGAGGAAGATACCGTAGACAGGAATCTGAGGGAAGTATTTGCACCCTTTTCATCATCTACTCAAACGATTCCTAAAGAGTTTGAATCACTCAAATGGGAAGATTTCCCATTTGGAGAAGAAATGATGGATGAACTTGGAAATGAGTATTTGTATGAGCATTTTCAATGTGCTAAAAGGATTGATATAGTTGACCCGGAAGAAATTGTTTTTCCAGATGATGACTACGTCTTTGACGATATAAAAGTGGATGACTTAGAAAATAAATATCTAGATTTAATGAAAGATGAAGACGATGAGTTTTTAATAAATGTTGCCAATAGCTTAGATATTTAAATAAAAAATTGTATAAAAATAGAAATAAAATAAAATTATTTAAAATTCAAATGTAAAAATCTTTTATTTTTTCACGCCGCATATTAACTGAAATAATAAAAGAAATATTAACTTTATCAACAAATGTGTTTATTTAATTATTTTCTATATTTCAGTGATTTTGTTTTCATTATATAATGAAATCAATATTTAATTATCTGAAATAAAGTTATATAGTCTAAAATACTTTTTTTGTATTTTTTATTTTCTTCTCATTCAATTTGCCAGATTAAAATATATATTCATAATTTTTGCTGCCTCCCTTTCGTACTCAAAATTTTTATGACATCCACAAGTGTAGATTCCTTCCGTAGCTGAATCCTTACTCCAGATACATGTTTTTCGTTGTACACCATGGATAGAAGTTATCATTTCAACTTCTTCACACTCAAGTAGTTTTGTATTTATAAAAAGAAGTCGCAGATAGTGAGAATTTAGTAGAACTCCATTAAACTGATTGAGAAACAATTTAATTTGATCCGAATACATAATGTACATCCAAGACTTTAAGTTTTTTTTTTACCACCTGCTTACCGAATTTACTCAAAAAAAAATTTCTAGTTTTCTTCATCTTTTCTACCCTGACTTGTAGATATCTTAAATCCTGCAAATGAAAAGTCATTAATTTCAATTAATTTCAAGTCAATTTTTAAACTCGGCTTCTATTGGTTACTTTTTCTTAAACAATCCTTATCTTGAAAAAAATATTTCGACTCTTTTCTAACTACAGGTCATCTATTTTTACTCACACTCTATTGGATTTCTTTTTCTTGAACAATCCGCATCTTGAAGAAACTATTTCTGATCTATTCTAACCAAAGGACTTTATTTTCAAAACTGAGATTCCATTTGGTTTCGAACCATCTCAAACCATCTAGGAATCTATCTGAGCTGCTATCTTTTAAAACCTAGAATTGTAACTCCCAGACTTCTAAAATTTGTGTACAAAATCGGAGAATTTAATTAGTTCTTTCCAAGACATTCTCCGGGCAACATTGTTAGTTTGAAAACTTAAAACAAAGCAAACAACTAAAAGTGTAGTGAAAGGTAAAAAGTATCATAAAATAAATAAAAAAAAAGAAAAATCAAATAATAAAATAATAAACAAAAAGAAAATGAATTTCAGTTCGAGTTCGTTATTATGAACAAGCGGACAAACCATGTCCGCACGGAAATGCATAAGAAGAATGCAATTCAACCCGTTGTCACGTTAACATACTGTTTTTGGAAGATGGCGGAAATGGACATTATATATTGATTTAAAATATTTCAAGGTATATATAATATGTATATATTATATATATATATAAATATATATATATATCAGAGAACGGCAAGGGTACAACCAGACAATGAGTGCACTTGAATCATGTGTGCCTTTTCGGCACTCAGAGAGGCCGAGGCACCCGACACACTCATAGCAAATGAAGCGAGCATTGAATGAAACATTGTGAGCCCTGCTATACTAGATCATGCAGACCTAGAAGATATATGGGTAGAAGAGCCCACAGATACCCCCATCAAAGACTTATTGTCCGTTGCTTCCGTTAAAGTATTACAATCCGCTAACCTTTTGTATTTTGTCATTAAATTTCCAATAATCAAATCGTCATGTATTAAAATCACTGTTTTTCCCGTGTCCCATCATGACACGATGCTCAGGCTGGAGGACAAAATAATAGCTGATTGCAATGGAGCGATTCACACGGTCAACAATTGCTCCACAACACCTGGAGCCACATTTTGCCAGCTGGCGTTAAGAAGGTCATCCGCGCAAGAGCTCCACGCTGGTGGGATAGCGCGCTGTGACATCCAGCACAGCGATCTACATCCAATTACTCACGTAGATGAAGGCATCATAATTGTAAACGATCGTCCGGCACGTGTGAGTGTGGATAATGGCACTTACATCCACGTAACTTTACTGAGAGTGCCATGGTTAATAAAACCCGATATGTCAACAATGACAGAGCCCAGAAGAGGGTCCCAGGAGTAGCCAGCTCGCCCTCCCTGAACATTACTATGGAACACAACATCCTCAGTCTTCCGTACCTTCACCGCTTGAGTGAGCGTAATCTGGACCACATCAGGAGAGTCGGGGAGAATATCAACAACTATCATTTACAACAGATAGTACTGGTAGCAGGAGCAATATGCTGCGCGTTGATCTGCGCCGGTTTCACCTATCGGCGAGTCCTCCAGGCCAGGAGAGCTACGGCCCAAATAGCAGATATGATCGCCCAAATAGGGTCGGCCGAGGGCGGCCTTAATCCTGAGGGGGGAGTAGTTAACTAAGTCAACCGGGCGACGCCAATGACCGATCATCCGAAAGTTCGCTCCGGCCAAATTGCTGACACAGCGTCTGGCCGGAAGCCCGTGCATAGCCGGCAAGCACTACCCATTGGAGTGGCCGCTATGAGTCTCTTTTTATGTTAGCTTTAAGTTCAGTTCATTTTGAAATCTCAATAAAGACAGAGCCATCGCTCTTGAATTTGAATTCCGGCACCGCCGTCATACATTACATTACGTTTGTTAATATTGGTTGTTGTGCCTTAAGGGCCAACGATAACGGAGGTAGTTCCTCCCTACATAACTCCTAACAAGAGAAGGAAGACCGCTAGGCGTACCTGCCTGGCGCACTACATAACTCCTAACAAAAGAAGGAAGACCGCTAGGCTTACCTGCCTGGCACACCCCCTCCCGCTGACGACACATCGATTGCTGCCAGGGGACTTATTCTAATTTATATATTTATTTATAAATAAACATATTAAATAAAAATTACTTGTTTTATAGATCATTAACAAGGCAAAAGAACAGATAACAATAGCTGTGTAATGTTTGCTTAAATTTCTCTGGATCTGAGGATGCTGCTC